CCCCAAAACCCCAAAACCCCAAAACCCCAAAACCCCAAAACCCCTCAATTCTTGATAAATTTTGAAATAAAATAAAAATATTATAGAAATGAGTGAGCTTGATTACTATCAGATTTTGCAACTTAACAGGACTGCTACTATCGATGATGTCAAGAAGGCATACAGAAGACTGTCTTTGAAGTACCATCCTACTAAAAATCCTAGTGATATTACCGTTTGCTCAGACCAGTTCCACCAGATTTGTGAAGCTTATGAGGTTCTGTCTGACACTCATCTTTCGGCTATTTATAACAGATATGGATCGAAGGTATTGGCCAAGGGTCTAGAACTCAGTGACGGGAAGTCGTATCCAGCTTATAAGTACCAAATGAACGCTTTTGAAATTTTTGAAAAGTTTTATAGCGAATATTTACCTTATCATGACATCTTTGATAGTACTGGTAAGATGCTCTACGGGAGCTGCTTTAGCTCAATGAATAAAGTTCGTAAGGATAAAACTCCTGATGCTCAGACAACTCTTGATTGCTCAATTGATGAACTCTATAATGGATGAATCAAAGAAATCACTTATGATAATAAAACAAGACTTGCAGAAATCCAACCTGGATATCAAAATGGACATCAGATTATTATTGAAGAGGAATGTGGGAAGAGCTATGAGGATGAATTTAGGAAAATAATCATAACTATAAATCAAATCCCACACTCAAAATACTCTAGACAAGGGGATGACCTGATTTATAAGCATGATATCTCTCTTATAGATGCCCTTAATTCAAGACCATTAAAATTCAAAACACTTGATGGAAGAACCTTAAATATCTCAATGGATGAGGTGATTACTCCAAAGACAGTGAAAGTTGTTGAAGATGAGGGCATGCCAGTGTTTGATGAAGACCAAGAAAAGTCTACAGTCAATAGCCCTGCTAAAGGAAAGCTGTTTATCACCTTTAATATTCTATTCCCCTCCCAATTGACAGAGGAGAGTCAGCTGCAGATTTCTAAAATCTTGAATTCCTCGTAAGAGCTTCAATATTTTAGTTATAAAGAGGGGTTTTGGGGTTTTGGGGTTTTGGGGTTTTGGGGTTTTGGGG